CCGCCATTGGCCCAGGCATGGGCTTTCTCCTTTAGACTCACTCGCGATTGGACCAGGTGCGTGGCACTCACAGACATTCCTCTTCACTGGTTGGCTGTACGTGTCTCCAGGCGCGCAAGCTCCGAGTGGGAAAGGGGCGGGGCCGAGTTCTACCGGCTCCGGCTGGGCTGCGCTGGCTGGGCTGCGCTGGAATAGAGTGGGCTCCGCTGGGCGGGGCGGCCGCACTGAACCCACACCCAACATTAGCTTTCCCTTTTGTTCTTTTAGCTCACAGCTGGAAGTGGCATCTTTTTCCTGCAGATAGGGGTGGTACAGGGGAGAAGAGACCGCAGTCCCTTGGAGGGAGGAAAGGAGAGGGCTCAGGCTAGCTTCCGGAGGGACACGGCACTGACCTGGCACTGACCTCGGGCAGGTGGAGGGTCCAGAAAGAACCATCAGAAGAGCAAAAGAAGCCCGGGGACAGTTGAGGTACCCGCGATCAACAGTGTCAGTGTCGACCGTCGCTACAGGCAGGCAGACTGAGGACCGGAGGTTGTTCCGTGGACTCGGCAACGACTAGCAACGTGGCCGCGAGCGATGCCAGTGTGAATTAGGGGACACAGTCCAGGTTTGGCCTCTTCTAAGTTAGATTTGCCTCACAGGTGGGAGCCTGGCAGCTGCCTGTCACAAAAAGGAAATCACAGCCTTAAGCCAATCGGGAGGCTTTTGTCTTTCTCTGTGCCATGTTTTTGAAATGGAAAAAACAGCCGAGACTGACAATCTCAAAGCTGGGCAGAGACTGAGGTCTGGAGGCTGACGGTCTGAGGCTCGTCCCTCCTGCTAACCCACGAAGGTCACCGTGCCCAGAAGATGAACTGCTGAGACACAGCTGCCCACCTCTCTGTGTCTTAAAGATAAACTGTAAAAGCAACATTACCTCCACCTCCCTACCCTTTGCTAAGTGCTGCTTCTGTAAAATTCTCCTTGCTCCCCATCCAGGGTAAAACACAGATAAATATGAGAAGAAACCTAGAAATGGGGCTCAGACTCTGCAAGGGGACTTCCGCTGGGCCCACTAGCTAGGGAATAAACCTGCCTTCCCTTCCATTCTCTGAGTGCTGATCTCTTCCCAGGTCTGTCTGCCCTCCGAGTGCCACTTCATTTCTTTCTCAGACTGGAGATAGTGGCAAACAAAATGATACAACCAAATCTTGAACTCACCTTAAGGATATTATGCTGATTAAATGAGGAGGAAGTGAGCTGATAACTGCAACTTCCTTTGAATGCACCAAAAATAAACCGGAGAGAGTAGGTTTTACAGAGAGGTGTGCAGTGAGGCACAATGTTAAAACGTTAGTGACACTTCCCTGAAACTGGTGCTGGGAATCAAACCCAGGACTCCCACAGTGAGAGCTCTCCAGAGGGGCACCACCCCAGCTCCTACAGCCCTCCGTTTATAGTCATTTGTTTTCCAGTACCAGGGATCAAACTCAGAACCTCGCACATGTGAGGTAGGTGAGGTAGGCGTGATGCCACGGAGTTAAATCCCTGGCCCCTGTTTGTTTATATTTTAAAACAAGGTCTCATCGGGGTGTGGTGGCGCACACCTGTAATCCCAGCACTCGGGAGGCTGAGGCAGGAGGATCACTGTGAGTTCAAGACCAGCCTAGGCTACATAGTGAGTTCAGGTCAGTCTCAACTACATAGTGAGACCCTGTCTCAAAACAAACAAAAAAACAAGACCTCAGTATATAGTCCAGGCTGGCCTTGAACTCACTATATAGCCCAGGCTGGCCTGGAACTTGTGGTGATCCTCCTGCCTCAGCCTCCCGAATGCTGTGATGACAGGCATGCGCCACCACGCCCAACTATTATATATTAATTTTGAGACCCTCTCACTAAGTTGCATGAGCTAGTCTCTGAACTCATCATCCTCCTGCCTCAGCCTTCTGAGCAGCTGGGATTACAGGTTTCTTAAATTATCTTACTGTACTACTGAGTGAGTGCATACCAAATGTGTGCAACATACATATCTGTGTATATGTTACATATATATACATGAGTAAGAAGTATGTTACACATATGTGTTGCCTGTAGATTAGATACAAAAATAAAAGTACTGACAGGCGAGGTGGTACATATCTGTAATCACAACACTCTAGGAGCATAAGGAAGGAGGATCAAGTTTGAGCCCAGCCTGGGGCAACTCAGCAACTTAGGGAGATCCTGGCTCAAGAAATAAAGAGGGCTGGGATGTAGCTCAGTGTGAAAGCTCTGTGTTCAATGCCCAGTACTGAACAATAACAATGAGTCTTGTGAGCTGGGTGTGAGGTCAGACACCTGCAATCCCAACTACTCAAGACTCAGGTGAGTTACCCACTGAAATCCATGAGTTTGGGACCATGCTGGGCAACCTACTGAGACCTAGCCTCAAAACAAACAAAAAACCTCTATTGTGAAATATAACTCACAGTGGGCGTTGTGGCGCACACCTGTGATCCCAGCACTTGGGAGGCTGAGGCAGGAGGATCACTGAGAGTTCGAGGCCAGCCTGGGCTACATAGTGAGTTCAGGGCCAGCCTGACCTACAAAGTGAGACCCTGTCTCAAAAAAACAAAACAAAATACATACTAACCCACAAAAGACAGGACAATTCACAAAACAAAGATGCACAACACAGTGACATCAAAACAGTCTTAGCCCGGTGTGGTGGCACAGGCCTGAGGGAGGCTGAGGCAGGAGATTCCCTTTGAGTTCAAGGCCAGCCTGAACTACATAGGCGAGACCCTGTCTCAAAAAACAAACAGCCTGCGGGTGGGGGAAAGGTAATAAGGGAGAGGAAAAAAATATGAGAAACTGAAAAAATGGAAATAAAGTGGTTGTAAATGGGGAGGGGAGGAGGAGGTGAAGGGAGGGCAGGAACAAGGGGAAAAAAATGAGAATCAAGACCTATTATGTAAAGGTACAGAATCCCAATGATGAATGTAACTGTATCGTATACCTAGATTGTACCAATAAACTCAATAAAAAGAAAAAAAATTGGAAAAAAAAAAGAAAACCCAGCCTGGGCTGGGGATTTAGCTCAGTGGTTCCACCGCTTGCCTTGCAAGTGCAGGGACCCGAGTTAGTTCGATCCCCAGTACCAAAGCAAACAAACTGC